AGCAGGCTGCGTGTGCACTACCGCTCCTGCACGCTCTGCACGCAGTCTGACGGGGAGAAGAACTACCTCTTCATTTGCTCTTGGACAAAATCACATGGGACCAAGTCCAACAAGACTAAAATGAGAGTTCTTGTACATGTGACAAGGAAGATTAAGGTACTGCATGATCTACAGTAAAACCTGTAGCTGAGGAGAGTTATTAGATACACCTGCAAGGACTGCAAGACTTCATGTAGGCACACAGGTATTTATGTTAAATCATAAAGGTATGTTCAAAGCTCACTCTTCCAATATTATCTTAGCTCACCTTGTTACAGCTTTGAGCTCTACATATATAGAAATACCATCTCCAGTGCTCACTATAAAAAAAAAACCTAGGAGACAAAAATCAAATTCTAGAGCACTTAGTTAATAGTTTAAAGAAAACTACTTGAAAAGGAGAACTTGATAAACCGACTCTTCTATTTCAGGGTTTTTGTAACTATCTCCTTTTCCTTTTTTTAGTATATACACCAAGGACAGAATCTGATCTCAAATTCTGTTTGAAAACCAAGGTGTATATTTTGTTGTTTTTACATCACCTTTGGGCAGCGCTGTGGTAGGTTAAAAACACAACAGTCCCAGAAAAATATTGAAGTAAAAAATATTGTGCAGTGGGAAAATTATGGGAAAACAGTGTTCTGATTCCAGCAGAAAGGACAGGCTAGTAGTATTTGAAAAGTGACCATTTAGTTACTGTAATATTCCCTGCTATTATACTCTATTCATATCAAAGAAGAGGCTAGAATAAGGCGTGATGTTCAGTTCCAAGTACTCTACTGATCCCTCCTTCTTTGCTAACTCTTGCTTCTTTGCCATCTTTGTAAGAAAATAAGAAACACAAGAAGTCTGCCAGGGTTGTCTGATTTGCCTGTCTTCTAAATGTAGCCAACTTGTTTTGATTTTAGTGAAAGCATGTACACGATGCCTCTCGTAATCTACTTCAAAATTCAAATATACCTAAGCACAAACTCTGCTTGGATTTGAACAATGTCTACAGGATCAAAAACTACAGCCACTTAACAACAGTATAATAAGATCAGTATGACAGCAGGAGATGAAGAACTCAGTGATTAGTACAGACGAAGGAATAAACAACAATTAACTAAAAAATCTATTAGGCAAGAGTTGTCTATCCATACACAGTTAAGGTCAGAAATATAACCTCAAAGGTTCTAATGAGTTGAAAGGAAGACAGACTATCAAAATGAGACTGCCTGCTGGAAAAAACAACATGACAAAACCAAAACAAATCTTCTGTATAATTTAGCTATATAGTGACAGAAAACCTGGAAACTGGCAATGCCGAATACTAGCTAGACTAGGATTATTGCAAATTTGCAGCTGCCAGGGCAACCAAGAGGTGAATGCCACACTGGGGTCCACATACAAAAGCCATACATTCTGCTATCAAAGTCAATCATATCTAAAAGACCTAACTCAGCACTACACACTCCCAATTTCCACAAACAAAAAAATGCAATGAAGTTTAGGTAGAACAATTAAGGAATAGAATCAGTGAAAATCAGACCTAGAAGAAACAAGAGCAGCTAAATGAAACAGTCCCTTATAGACTGTGAAACTGTCCCCAGCTTTCTGCAACCTTTTTTTCCCCAAGTTAAAAAGAACACCTATATAATTTTATCCAGTGATAGGTTTACCAATCAAAGAGGATTTAAGGAGGAATATTATCACTGATGAACAGGTCTGCGTTATGTTTGTGGCAGACTGTAAAATCATACCTAGATTACTATATCTCCACTCCCTCATTCCCATCAGCAGGACTCTGAGGGCATGTCCTGCATCGGTGAAGGTGAAATAAACTGAGCTGCTTTACACCTGCAGATCACACCATCCTGCCTTGACTGATGACAGGGCTCTGAGCACAAGAGCTCTGACATACACTCATCTGCCAGAGGACAAGATGCAACTGATGGGAGAATCTGAGCATTAACCCACATTCCCAACACATTTGCCCTAGATTAAGAAAGTAAGCAGGAGTTAAGAAAGAAACAAACCACCACCACAACCCGGAGAGAAGTCTGTATGTGCAAGTGGGAACAATATCAAAAGCAGTGCCCTCAAGCAGTGAAAACACTCACGGAAATTTGGAACAGACTATAAAGGCCAAATCATCCTGAAGTTCACACACACTCAGCTGTAAAACCCAAACAATTAAAAGCTAGATGGAGACAAATATGTTTGACTATTTGACATGCTGTGTAATCAATGACCTTGGTAAAATTAAATATTTATGGGGTTGTTTTGGAAGTTCACATGCTGTCTAAAAATACTTTAAAAAAAATCAGTTACCGGATTTGAGACAAAAATATTAACTTCAAAATCTGCTATATAAAAACAATGTTATTTTACTGTTACCAAATAAAGTGTATCTTTATGCATTTAACATGACATTTCTCATCTGTCTTATAAGTCTTTACTCCTTCCAAAAAAAAAAACCAATTAGCTTGTATTTCACTACCATGTTCCATATTTATTAATTATCTTTACCTTCTGCCAAAACAAAGCAGCAATTTTGATGTTTAACACTATTGGCACAGATAAACATCACACATGCACACATCTCTAGGCTTTCTAAGATTCTGAAAAAACCCGACCTGGAGAAAGGTGTCATTTATTCGCCTAATAAGGAATGAACATTGTCTCTAATTAGTCATAAGGTGTACTGAACAATTGCAGAAAGATCACCTAAAATCTTATACACAAAATATTTTTAACCTATCCTCTCTCTTCCATTTACCTGCAGATCATTTTAATTCAATATTTTCCTAACTTTAATGATATTTTTGTTTGACCTTTGTGTCTGATGAACAGGACAACTCTTTCCCGCAACTACACTGATACTTAGTGTACAGACACCATTAGGTCTGTACACATTCATTTAGATGTCATTTTAGCTTAGTTTTGATTTAATTTCTCAGGTAAGTCTTTAGAGTTTCTTTTCATTCTCTGCTATTAGGGGACTACCTTTCACATATTATAAAACAAATAATGTGGGAAAAAAATTTAAAGTCTTTTGAATAATATCATATTAAGAAGTCTTTCAAATAAACAGTATTAGAATGTCACTTTGTAATTTGGTGTGAAATTAAAACTAACTTTCCTGGAGAAAGCCAAATGTGAGCATGAGTTACAGAGCACAACACCAGCACAAAGTTCACTTAGAATTTATGGGGCTTTTGGTATTAAACTTCAGAATGCCTCCAACATTCTGAACATCATCTTGTTGCTGTTCACACTAATTGCCGTTAGTTTTTCAGTGCTATAGAATAAAAGAAAATCTGTTTAGTGGTAGGAGGCTGTAATACCATCAATTAATCTCTCACATTTTTCTTAGGTGTGTTGATAAAAATCACCCCAGTTAACAACAGGGGATGCAGATGTAAAAGGTATTTCCTATGATTGCGTATTCAAAGTTTGAGCTACTATAAAACTTAATTTGAATGAGGAAAGCAATCCTGATTTAATACTAATCTTTTAAATAAGTGGACAAATTATTAAAAACAATCCATGTTCTAATGTTCCATACCAAAATACAATGTGTAATCTGTCCCTTTGGTAGATTGCTGTTGCACAGCCAAACTATTCTCAGAACTATTTCCACAGCTACAGACAATGCTGAAGATGCTAGACAGAGACAAAGAGTAGACATGCTGAAATGCTGCAGATAAATTTTCAAATTCAATAAAAACACTAGATTATTATGTAAGTTTCCATTACAAGTTATAAAGTATAGTATTAGAAATCAATAGTCCATTTTTACACATGAACTAATTAAATCAGAAGCAACAAAATATTTGGAAAAAGAAACCCATCATTTCAAGTGAATTTTTGTAAGAATCTAAAAAAAAATTGTCACTGAAAAAACAAATGAATGTACAAAACAAATGAATTCCAACTGATAGTATCACCATTCTAACACAGCCACATCTACAAATGTGTGTCCAACTCTGTCGTGTATAAAAATAATTCTGACCCTGTTCCATATTCAAATAAGAGATGAAAGACAAGGAAACATATAGTAGATCTTCTATAACATCTCCCGAGGTAGAAAAAAAAATCCTTTGTCTCTAAGGGATGAAACATGGAGAACAAATTACACGAGTCACAGCAGATGAATGAACTAGTTTTGCCACTTGTCTACACTCTGAAGTGAGTACGAGTGGTATATCCACTGAGACAGACCTGAAAACCATCACAAAAATGCCCAGAAAGTATGAAAAAAACCATACACATCTTAAAGATTCAGTTCATTTTACTACTTATGAAACTGTAACAGTCCACAAAAACATAATAACAGCCTACACACCAATTCAAGCCTGTGATCCTATCTTAAAGGCAATCTTGGACTTCCCAAAAAGTGAGAAGAGTCTAATCAAAGAAAATTCTCTTGCTATCCTGCAATTGCAGAACTAGAGTCCTACTCCTTCAACATGGGATGAAACTCTAAGTTTGTACTCAGGAAGTGAAGCAAGGAAGAGAGCAATGAAAGCCACTGCCTGTGGCTGCAGTCTACAAACTCACATGTATGTAAACACAGCTAGCACCCACAGAAGGAGATGACAGCACTAAGAAAGTTTCAGTCAATTGCTTATTAGTTGAAACTCCAACATTCTAACCCTGTTCATCCTTTCAAAAATATTTAATGGAAAGACTAGACATAAAGATGTCATTAGAACTACATAGATCAAGCACAGTTAACAATGTAGGAACAGGCATTTTCACCAGCACCTGGACGGTGCTTTTTATAAATTAATCTATTAAAAGTTTTGTCTTGTCACACTAAAGATGTACAGACGTAAGAAAACTATACAAATAACAGGCCCTCTCCCCAAGACCTCTGAATGTTCAACTGCCCACTGACTGGCCAATGAGAAGAGGAGGCACAAAAAAAAGAAGCATAATCATTTAAAATTACTGAACTCAAAAGCTCTACAGCAGAGAGATTCATCCCATTTATCTCCCATAATTCTTACAGGGGTTCAGTCACCCACTCTCTCTCTAAGTACTAGGGAGAAATAAAGAACACAACTTTTAGCTGCCTGACAGAGAAGTTAAAATCCAGCCCAAGAACCCACTTACATTCTGCAATGACTAAGATTAATGATCACATCAGTGAAACAAGTTAGAAACTGGTGGGACTCAACTGAAAGAACTATCCTGTTGATTAAAGTTTAAGTTGGCTTATCCACTGGCTCTTGGTAATCCTGGCATTTTCATCTTCTTCTGCAACTAAGGAAATGGCACTCACAAATCAGTACTTGCAATTAAGAAATTCATAAACCAAAAAAATAAGTTCTGGATATTAAATTTAAATACATCCCAGAAACTATTACAGGCACATAAATGCACAACTGGTTATTACCTGGATTCCTCTACTTGCTGCAGTGCATATGAACGTGCAACAGGAAAACTATGTTATTTCAACTCATACCTTCAACCTGCATGGCAAAGTGTCTCTCCTCAGGGCCCTGCTGAAACACCTCACCTCATAACTAAAGCAGTAAAGCACTGAGCTGGCTTTCAGAACGAAAGCTCCTCTGCACTTGTCAGAGAGAGGCTTTACAGGTTAGACTGTTGAGCCCTTCACTCTAAGATGAATGCTTACAGAGGTAATGCTCACAGTTTAACAGGAGGCAGCACCAGGAAGCCCATACCTTTTGTTCTATGTTGGTTAACAAGGGAGGAACATCCGAAGATGAGGAGTTGGGCAGGCCCAGTGTGTCACAGATAGCTTGCACTTCCTGATAAACTTCACTGTGCTTTTCCAAAGGAGAGCTTTTCACTTTCTTGCTGTGCAATATCTTTAAAGCTTGAAGTTCTGTACTTAGAAATACTAGAGGAGAAAGTGTCATAATGGCAGTTAGAGACAATTCCGCATCCAGATTCTCGTACACAAATATAATATGTGCATTTATAATAAAAACATGATAAAAGTGAGACTCTCAGCTCTCTCCTAGAACAGTCAGGATCAGTTTCCTATTCTTTATCTGAACTCTCACCTGACTTCTTATCCTCAGTCTATGCACAGTTATTTAACTGCTTAACCCACCTCCATCACAGGACCCCTAGAGTTCCTTACCTAGTTTCATACTATCACACTGGTTCCTGCTGCTACTCTCCTATGTCCAAATCCAGCTTAAATGTAAACCTTGCTTCACTCAATTCTGCTTTCAGCATTTTCAAATTATGTAGTATTTTCAAATTATGTAGCATTTTCTTCTAGGCTTCCCAGAAAACTCTCAGAAACCCAGGAAGCAAGGCATTGGTCTCAGCTGAGCTGTAGCTGGATCAAGGGAGGGATCTGGAGGCATCAGCAGGTTGTAATACATTTCTTCACAAAGAAATTTTAATTTCTACTAAAATAGTTTTCTAATAGTTTTATACTTCTGTACAAGTGTATGCTCAGCTAGGTTGTGATGATTCCACACATATACTTAAATACATATGAAGAACTGTTTAATGTAACTTGTACTGTGATGCTAGCGCACGCATGTAAAATACTTTACTATAAATGGGGAAAACAGTTGTAACTTACAGAGGAGTTTAAGACAATCTTCCTTCTCTCTTAATCTGTCCTTGATGTCTCCAGATATAAGTGATGAATACGGACAAGCCATTTCTCTCAGAAAGCCACTAATCTCAAGCTGGAAGCTCTCTACATCTTTATGACCTGCGGGGTTAAATAAATGCAAACAGAAACACCAAGCTGTCATCTAATTTTCTTAACTCATACATTTAAATTTTAGGTTCCAATAGCCCAGAAAAAGATCTACCACCTACAACCCTAGTAACACTTTCTTTCTTCTTAAAGAAGTCCTACAGACAAGCAGACAAGCCTTTTAATAGCTACAGCAATACTGCACTCATGCTTTGAAAGAGAAGGTAATGCTAAAGCAGTCTTTGAAGACCTGAATGCAAATGAACATCACTAGGAAGTGAACAGCTTATCTCATAAAACAGCACATCAATGTAATGAATTTTCTGATGAGCAAGCTACAGGAGCCATTAGGCCATACTTTTCAATGGTTGTTTTTAGTTTTACTACTTTTTTTTTTTTTTTTTGTGGAAACATAAGAAATACAAAAACCTCATCCAAGTTCCAGCACTCAACACAATGAACCAGGTAGGGCTAGCGAGCAACTCACAAATCTACACACAGTGCTGAAGAGAACACAGCATTGGACCATCTGGCTGAAAATACCAGGCACTGCAATTTAAGTCATCAAAATAAGACTGCATATAACAACTACTCATAAGATGTATGAATGTACTTCTTATATTTATGTAGATCTAAAAAAAACCCACCCCAAAATACGGGTTGCTTTTCTTTTGACATTATCTTCACAAGATAAGACCTTAATCTAAGAGCCACATACATGCAAGTATCAGCCTCAGTTTGGCTGCCTTTCCTCTATCTTCTAAACTTCAAGACTGCAATTTCAGTATTAGCTGAAAAATATGGGTCTAAATCCACTGAACTAGTACCAAATTACTTTAATAAATTAACATTGATTTACCATCTGTCGACGTAATGCTTTCTTCCATATTACACAGCGACTTTATTTGGGAACCTAACCAAACGCAAAGCTCGAAAAACTCTGGTGAAGACAACCCATTTTCTGCTGCCTTGTTCAGTGCTTCCTCCTCCAACAGGGGCCCCGTGTAGCTACACAGAGAGAAAAACGTTAGTGATAAGCAGCAAGTTTAACATCAAATACATACATTTTAAAATCATTTTATTATGAGCTGGTTAGTACACTGAAAGAAAATTATCTTTGTAAGGTACTTTTATCAAGGACTAATCCAGCATTTTAAACACACACAAAAAAAGAGGGGTAATTTGTGAACAAGACGGTTTGTCAGATGGTTTTGCCGCCCCCTCCATCGTCCCTCCGTGACAACCAG